TGAGCTCCTGCAGGGGCCGAAATGGCAAACCGTGGGGAGCGGCACCACGTACGGGCGGTCACACCATGAGGCCCCTGGCCCTGCAAAATGCTTCACATGGCCCCGCTAGCCAATTCCAGCACCTTGCACTGGCTGCTGTTGAAAAAGTCCACAGGAGAAAAAGAAAAAAAACAAACCCCCGAAACCTCCAGAAAAAATAAATACTGCATCCTTTTTTTTTTTTTTTTTTAGCTGGGGGCTAAAAAAAATTTGTTTTCCCCCTCTCTTGCCAACCAAACCTCCTGAGATTTCAGAGCTGGGTTTTCTGCAGAAAGCAGACCTGCAGGGTGATGGAGGAGCTTGCCCAGCCATGGATGGAGGTGGGATGCTGGTGTCCCACTGGTACTTCACAGCATCTCCTGAGGTTTTTACCATGGTTCTGCTGTGCAGGTCTCCCTGGATTTTGTGAAGAGCGGCAGCTATGAGCTGGAGCGGATGGGAGTGACCTACCCTGCCCAAGCACACACCAAATCCCCGTTTGACCCGGACAACAAGCGAGTGAAGGGCTTTTACTGAGAGTGTGGCGAGCGGGTGCTGCAGACGCGGGGATGGAGAGAGGGAAGATGCCGTTAGGAGCCGCCGGATGAATTCCCAGCCACTGCGTGCCCCAGCTGGCTCCGGGGTCTGCTGGGAGAGCTGGGCAAACATCTGAAAGAACTCATCAAGCAAATTTAAGTCAAATTAAAGGGGAAGAGGAGGGAGAGATTCCAAAAAATCCAAAAATTTCGTTGCTCTGTTTTCTAAATGAAACAGTACCACTACAGTAATAATTCTTTTCCATGGGTTAATTGGCCTGAAAACAGTGTTTTGCTCGACTGTGAATGAAGTGGTTTCAATTTTTGACTTTGCTGGAAACCCTTTCCCCCAAAACATAGTTACAAACTGCCTGAAAATGTATTTTTTAAACTAATTCTGCTGTTGGTACATCTGTAGCCTCCAAACCCACCTTTTATCCAATCCCTTGCTGTATCTGTCCCCGCTCTAATGGGTGTCACCTTGTCCAGGCTGTGCCCTGGGGACCCGGTGCTGGGGTGGGAGCACTTGTGGGGTCCACGGAGGGAAGACCAGGGGGCTCAAGACCATTGCCCAGGCTCACATCGTGGATGCTTTGCCTGCTGCAGGATTCTTCTGCATTGAGAAATTGTTGGCTTTGCCCAGAGGGTTTCCAGGCATGTTCTTCCCATCTCTGCAAGCACTGGTTCATCCCTTCATCCTGCCTTGCCCCTCCTCGATCGCAGTCAGGGTTGTTGCTGGTACAGTTTGTGGTTTTATTTCCTCTGGGCTGCTCCTGGTACAGACAGGACCCGCTCGGCGCTGTGGTATAAGCCCACCAGCTGGGCCACCAACACGAGGGCTTCCCTTGCCCCCACCTGCCGGTGGCTCTGTGGTCCCGTCTGCTCAGGTGGCATCTTCCCAAAGGTCACCTTGGAGGTGGCTCTTTTTAGTTTCTCCTGGAGAAGGGGATGCGTGCAGAGGCTGAGCTGCCAGCCTCGCAGCCTCCAGCAGCACAGAGCTGGTCTGGAAGGTGTCGGGGAAGGTTTTTTAGCACAGACACGCAGCCCACGAACCCCCAGCTGCCAGGGGGAAGGGGCAGCTGCTCCAAACCTGTCCCCATCATCGTCCCTTGCGCTCGTTCCCTTGCTGGGCTCCAACTTTAGCAGCACAGCAAAGACCTGATCTCTGCTAAAGCTCTCACCCGCCCGAAGAAATAATCACCCTGTATGTTTTTCGCTTTATTTCCCTTGACTAGGTTTGCTTGGTTTGTACCCTCTTTAGAGCTGATTTCAATTCCTTCGCCTTGTGCAACAAGCACCCAGGGCAAAGTTTGAACTCTCACATGATTTGGTTTTTAGTGAGAACATTAAAAAAAAAATATATTTGAGTGATTTTCTTTTTTCCTCTGAATAGGAGGTGGTTACCCTCCTTGATTCTGCCCTGGCAGAGGGCAGAAGAGGGGGTGACCATGGTCCTGGTTCTTTTTCCTGGGGATAAATGAGGGACCGAGCATGCTGCCTCCATGCCAAGCCAGAGATCTGCTGTGTGCAAGTGAAGATGATGTTTTACTTCAAAAAAATCTGACTCGAGATTTCCCCTTAAGCTCACAGTGGCTGGGAAGGCAGGTTTTGGCTGCCACCCTGCCCAGGATCCCACCTGCCCCAGGGCAACGAGGGGCCGGTGCCTGGCAGGAGGGATGGGCTCTCCTACAGCATTGCTGGTCTTTCCTCTTCTTCTCCTGAGTATCTTCCCTTCAGAGCTCAATCGCAAAAAGCAGTTATTTCTGGTTTTTTTTCTTTAAACATTTAAGTATTTAATGGAGTCATTTTTCCTGCCAAAAGGTTTGGGTTTTGCCCCCATGTCCCTCTCACCCCGTTCCTCCCCCTTTCCAAACCCCAGCACGGAGATATCATTTGTTCCTGGCCATTGGCCTCAAGATGAACAATCCCCAGTGTGGGAGAGTTGGAGGAGGAGCGTGGTGAGAGCTGCCGTCCCTGCACCGGGGAGCAAGCACCGGGTGGGTGTCACGACATCCCTCCCTCCATCCTCGCCATGGGTCCCAGCGTTGAAGGGTGCCTGCAAAACTACCTCGAGTTAGATGGGACCGTGAGAAGGCTGAGAAGGTGGGAAGGCTTGTATGCTGCTCCCCTGCAGGTCTCTGCTCCGTGCCTCAGTTTCCCTGCAGGGAAAACAGGCTTCTCCCCACTCCACCGAGGGCCGTGCTGTGTTCGGCACAATAGCAAACCTTCACATTATTATTCCGGGGGTGGAAAGCAGCATTACTCAGAGCCAGGATTGCTAATAACACACTAAATATAGCGCTTTCCATCTCCAGAGCTCTAGCTCGTGAGCCCTAACCCCCTCTGGAGACAGGGGCCAGGGCTGGCATCGCTGCGCAGCCAAGGATGCCGGGAGAGTGACGGGGCAGCGTTGTTT